CCCGGTCATTGACTGGTTTGCCGGCCGGCTTGTGAGTTGCATGCACATCAATTTCGCTCTCTGATGAAGGCAAAAAAAAGGTCAGTCGAGCAGCTGGACACGAATTCGCCGCTGTCGAAGTTCGATGAGGGCGCACTGTCATGCTCAAGCTGCCAAGCACGCACCCCATCCGCTCCGATATGGAAAGCCTTACTCACGTGGCTCCCATCCTATCTCTGTAGCTGCCCAATGCAGGCTTCGCAGTATCGATAGGTGCTCCTCTTCCAAATTCAGCTGAGCAAGCGATTCAAACGCAGGGGGCGATTCTGAGCTCGCAAAGATCGATCAGTCTTGTGAGCCTCGATGGAATGATCAACGATGCTTTTGCTGGCTAGCGCTTACCATTATCTCCAATGACCAGCACTCGCCCTTCGCCGCCCAGCCTCTCGAGCACGGAGCCAGTCAATGCGCCTCCAACCCCATCCACGATCAGATACCTGCCTCCAGCAGCGACGTTCGCGAAGCTCAACATCTGCGCTATCGAGTCTTCTCGCAGACCTCGCATCTTTTCTGCTGAGCGCTCAGCATTATGCGCTGCCATGATGGACGGTGTTGGTGCGAGCGGCGTAAAGATTCGCATGTGTCTGTAGGACAGCAAAGTGAAATTTGATCCCATGGCAGGCCTGAATACAAGCAGATTTGAGCACTCACTTGCTTTCCTTTCTCTTACGATATCTAGATGAGCAAGGGTGCGTCAGTGCGCTCGCAAATGCTGGTGGGATTGATGAAGGCGCAACGGCTGCACTCACTTGGCCTGTGAAAATGCAGTCTTTTGAGCAAAGTTGATGTTGCCTTCCGTGGCTTGCTGTATGATGGTCTGATGTGGACAACGAATGGGGAGAGGACAGATCTCAGCTTGGCTTGTCAGATCAATCCAATCCCCTCCACTCTTCTTGCTCACCTTGCCGTCCACCCCCGCATCTTTGAGCGCGCTGATATCGATGGTCGTCAATAGCTGTGCGGTTTGAGCATACGCCGAGTCTGGATCGCCATCCGCATACAGCTCGTTTGTCGCATCCGTCTCCTCTAAAAGCGCAAGGAATGAACACAGCCGACGCCGGGGAGAGTACAGAGTGTGAGCGGCAACGATCTGCGCAGGCCTTGATGCGCCTCATCCGGCAGAAATGGGTCTACGCCATCCGTAAGGCTCACACTGAGCTCGTAGACGGCAGCACTCACCAATGGCCTCTGCGCCTGGCGCCTCAATGACCACCCTGAGCTGTCCGGGAGTTGGAAGTCCGGCTTCTTTGGACGCTTTGCCCTGCTTGCCCTTCGCGCCGCCTCCCTTTGGCGGCTCCGTGCTAGAAGTCGGACCAGCGCTACCATCTCGTACATCCTCCTCGCTCTGATCCAAGAGGTCCTGCTCCTCATCTCCAGCCTTCCTCTTGCCTAGCACGCCACCATTAGCATTCGTCCTGCTCGGCCCTCCTTTGTCGCCGCCCACAATTTCGAAAGAATGTCCAAAAGGCAATCCCACGATCTGGGAGCCTCGAAAGACTCCAAATTTGCCCAGAGAGATGAGATCGTCGCCTTCTCTCACACCACCTTCTGCTGCTGCTTGAAGTACGACTGACTTGAGATGTCCCGATGGAAGTTTGAGCAGTACAGGCTTGCCGGACGGAATGTGCGTCAGTCGCTCAGAGGTCGTGAAAGGTGCTGACTTTCGCGTTATTTTCCTGTGGCTTTGCCGATGCTTGCCATTTTGATCGACGTGCAAAACGCTGCCAGAAGCTGCTGAGCTTTGCAACCCTTCTTTCGAATTGCTCATCTTGACGTGTGTGTCGTGTCTGTCGTGCTGGACAGCGTCAGGATCTATTCAAGGTTCTGATGGATGCGATCGATTTACGGTGGCGCTTCCAATGAGCCTCTTCTGGAGGCGAAACTAAAAACACCTGTTGTAGCATGCGGCTGCAGGAGGGCAGCATTCACGTGATTTGGCCGCCATCGGCTTTTCTCGGTCAAGTATTTGAACGGATTGCTACATGTTTGTGTGGGAGTATTGGAGGTGAGACATTGAGCCTGCATGTCCCCATAATGTGTAGCTCTTGCAAGCATCTGCAGGACAAATAGTTGTTACTCCCTGGAACGGAAGAAGTCTGTTTCCCGTAATTTGTTGTGCTCGGTTGCAAGCTGAAAGAGCTTCTGGTCAGTCTTCTGCTGCTCTTCTGAAGAAGTCTTGTTTGTTTCCAACTCATACTTTGTGCTCTGCAGTGACTGAAGCAGCCCTAATTGTTTCCAACCCCATGCTGGGGCTCTGTATTAGCACCACATGCCCCGCAGAGCATACATCGTTCCATGGATACTTGCTACAGTACGCTGCGCACTGTCACAATCACAATCGTCATACACCGCTCAAGAACTCCCACTCATTTGCTCTGCTTCACACGTACGCGGCATGTTGTCGACAGGACTGCCAAGCAAAACCCAGCGGTCATCCAATCTTCAATCATTTGTCACTTGTTGACCGATCAGAACAAAATACTACCCGCGCTGCAATGAGACTGATGTTGCCCCATCAGTACCACTTGACATTTCGGAGCATGTCTGACCTTTGGAGATGCCAAAATTGGGGCCAAAAGTTTTGAAAAAAAAAAAAAAAA